GCTCCTCCCCTCCTTGCCCGTCCCCTCCTTCCGTCCTCGGCCCTCGCCGCCCGGCTCTACCCCGGGCGAAGGAAACGAACAGGAGGCGCGGCAAGCGAGGCGGAGCCCGCAGGGGCAGGTGTCTCCGGAGGCGCGTGAGAAAAGGCTGGTTCCGGGAACTCGAAAGCAAACGCTCGCCAGCCCCAAGAGTTGCCATCTGGCCTTAGGGGAGGGCGAAGCTGTGTGCTTGTGCGGCTAGGAAAAATTGGCCGCCCTTTTAGGCTTCTGTCTCTGAGCATGAACAGAGCTCCTTCCTTTCTCTGCATTTGTTTTTGAACAAGTCTTCCTTGGGGATGTTGCTTAGTTATTGATTTCCGAAATTACAATTTATAAGAGTGAATTGCTTCAGATTGGATGAGATAAGACAATTTTAATTCTCTGGGTGCAAAACAGTGGCAAAATATGCCTTCGTGAGCTGAGGACTACAAAGCCAACAAGGTTGGCTATTGCTGGAACCTTGCTAGGTACTTTCAGTTATATCTTATAGAATTAGATGTATATTCTTATACTGTGGCATTAAGAATCTCTCTCACAAACAAACATACATACAGATTCTCAGGGCTTTTTTTCCCATAGAACGCCCAGAATGGAGTTCCCGAACCTTGTAGCTACCCTTGTAGCAAGGTGGGTTGTATGACCTGTGTGTGTTCCCGCACCTTTTTTTTTTTTTTTTTTTTTACAAAAAGAGCACTGCAGATTCTACAAACATAGTTGTGTAGCTCATTCTTACTTCATTTTGCTGTAAGTGGAGATTACAGCAGATTTGTTTCAGGAAGGCAGAATTACTATCTTTGTTCCTTGTACAGGCAGAAATTATTCAGGTCCATCCTGAAAGTAAAGTGTTAAGGACATCTGCATCTGTTGAATGCTGAACTATTATTATGATACTTGCTTGAAATCTTTGCTTAGTTTTGACAATCATTTCAGCATCCTTGGGTCAGAATCTATTTCTATCTAGCCTACCTTTATAATATTTTAGTGACAATAAAATCTGAAGAACTCATAAGTTGCCTCAACATCTTGCAAGAAAAGCCGCATGTAGCTATAAGAAATAAAGCTGTGAGCATGTCTCAGTCCAAATCTACTTTCAGCGCAAAAAGGGCTGTAAAAAAATGGCAACAGGATGGCTTCTTCCAAATCTAAAAGGCAATAGAAATAAACAGGGAGAACAGAATTCTATATGCACAAGGCCTTAACTCCAGTGGGTACTTCCTTCCTGGGGTGTAAGATTTTCTACAGAAGTCAGAGAAAACACAGCTTTGAAGCGGAATATCTGCAGATGAGGGTTGCCAAGTTAGAGCAATGGATTACATAGAACAATAAAAGAATGTGGTGGAAGCAGTGGCATGCTGGAAGGAAAAGTAGGAAATAAGTTTGACAGGCTAGGAGAAAAATAGAAATAAAAACTACAGGAAGGGGGCCTTGGAGAAACAATAGAAAGATATGTAGGTTGTCATAGGAACCAGCAGGATTGAGCGTTTGGAGAGGGGATGGCAAATACATGACAGATCCATAAATGGAACCACAATCAGATGGAATGTCCATCTGCCATCCCCAAGGAGAAATCATGGGGTCCAGGGTGAAACTACAGCATGTAGAATGAAATAGCAGCTGTATGTGTTCAGGCAGATACTGAAGAACAACAATGAGAGCTGATGCTTGTCTTGCCAGCAGTGTGAGATGTGAGTAAATCTTCCATTCCAATCTTAGCTCATTTGTGAAGTTAAAGATAACCCTGAGACTATAAGATTTAGTTACATTAGTTCTGATTACTTTTATAGAGGAATAAAAATGCTATACTTCCAGTAGGCACATAATTTGCTTTATCCTGGAGATACTTTTCTTAGAACAAAGAAGCCAGATTATATATATGTAACAATTTTGAACTCTGGAAATGTCCTCTATAAGCATAAACATGTAGTCCTTGACCTACGACCACAATTGAACCCAAAATTTCTGTTGCTAAGTGAGACATTAGTTAAATGAGTTTGTCCCATTCTATCTTTCTTGCCACAGTTGTTAAGCGAATTATTACAGTCGTTAAGTTAATAACATGGTTGTTAAATGAATCTGGCTTCCCCATTCACTTTGCTTGTCAGAAGCTCTCAAAAGGTGACTTGATCTCAGGACAGTGCAATGGTCATAAATGTGAGTCAATTGCCAAGTCTCTGAATTTTAATCATGTGATCATGGGGATGCTGCAATGGTCATAAGTATGAAAAACAGTTATAAGTCACTTTTCTCAATGCCATCATAACTTTGAACGGTCATTAAATGAACCGTTGTAAGTCGAGGACTACCTATATTTCTGATAGGCATAATATTCACTGGAATTTTCTGAATAATGACACAGAAGTTAAACTGGGAAAATATATGCAAACAGCAATTCTTGGTTTTCTTGCAGGTGGATTTTGGGCAAATTCTAATATATGTATTTATCAATTAATTTGTGTATATCATAGCTTTCCACAGCTGACAATAAATAATATGAATAACTTACTAGAGCAGGCTGAAATGAGATACCCAGGATAGAAGACTTCAAATTTACCATTCAGATTCAGAGGTTATAGTAGTGGGCTAATGGTAATTCATTTATAAAAAACCTTTAAAAAGAAGGAATTGATTGGTAGGAAAAATTACCACGTTTTTCAGATGCATAAGAATATATATAAAGTCTAATGCAAGTATTCTCACAGTGCTGATATTTAATTTTACCTCATGCTCATTTACATTAACTTGCCTATGCATGTTTTTCAGTGGTTATTTTTATCAGCTCTGTGTTCCAGTGGGTGTATTATACGAATGCCCACGTTCTTCTTTTGAAACTCAAGCAATGACTTTGGTTCTTTTATTCTCACAAGAATCCTTTGAGCTGAATGAGAGTGAGCGATAGGAACTGATTCAAAATTATTCATGAAATACTACAATTTAATTGGTATAGGGATACGATTAACAACCCCAGTCTCCTGGGATATTGCTGAAAGATAGCTCCCAGCATTCTTGCCATTAGCCACCTTTTTTTAGGAATACATATAATTCAGCAACATCTGGTGTATCAGCAGTTTTCTATTCTTGTTATAACTAGCAATACATTACATGCATTCATGATGGTTATTTCTTGGCATGACTTATTTCTCCAATTAAAGTGTAAACTCTCTCTCTCTCTCTCTCTCTCTCTCTCTCTCTCTCTCTCTCTCTCTCTCTCTCTCTCTCTCTCTCTCTCTCTCTCTCTCTCTCTCTCTCTCTCTCTCTCTCTCTCTCTCTCACACACACACACACACACACACACACACACACAAAATAAACCTTCAAAGTGTCATGTCACCCTGCAGTCTTTCCTTCTGAAAACTAAACATGACCAACTTTTTAATTGTTTATTGCAGATCCTGGTTTTCAGACCTTTCCCCATCCTGATAGTTTTCTGAATCCATTCCGCTTTCCTCATGTTCCTTTTAAAATAAAGGTAGTCCTCATTTAGTGCCTGCCTCATTTAGCAACTGTTCATAGTTATTACAATGATGAAAAAATATCTCTACAAGAAATCCTCACATTTATGACTTTTGCAAGTCTGTAAAGCAAAGGAAAACTGAAGTAAGATCATAAATACAGTTGCAACTTCATTTAGCAACCACTTTTCTTAATGACCAAGTTGCCAGTCCCAATTGTGTCACTAAACAAAGACTTCCTGTATAATGTTCAGAGGCGAACATAGTATTCCAAGTGTGGTATTATTTGTGCTGAGTACTGGGAAATTATTACCTCTCATAGTCTAAATAAGGTGCTTCTGTTAATGTAAATTGCTTTATACATTTTGTGTGAAAACAAAAGCACGGATGACTATTGTTTTCCGCATCATAAGCCTTGAACATGGAAAGCCCCGAAACTTAGAAATTAATATGTTGCTTGTAACCAAATATGGCAATCCCACACATTCCCACATTAATCTACTATAAACTATAATCCACTGTAGCTTTTTTGTATAGAATGGGTTGCCTGTGGTCGGTCTGTCTGTCTGTCTGTCTGTCTGTCTGTCTATCTATCTATCTATCTATCCAAATTCTGATAAGGATACAGACGGGTGCAGATATTTTGCCATATTTGGAGCATCTTGTGAACTTGCATTATGCGTGTAACTAGCGTGCTGATGCTTGCTTTATACAATCTGTTACATTTGTTAGCCAGCCAAGATATGGTAGGTGATGATAAGCCAACCCAGCTTTGAACTTGTATGAACCAATACATGAGATTAACTGTATTTTATAGGAACAGGCTGGGAGAGGAATAGGTAGAGGTTTAACATGCCTAGATATGTACAGTTATTGCCACATGAGGTTGGAATACATTATAATTAAGATCTTTTTTTTTTTTTTAAAGGTTGATGCATGCAAGCTGTTATTTCTTTGAGTAAACTGTACATTTTATTTCATTCTCTCCTGTTGGCTGTGAGTGTTGAAAGACGAAGGGGCAGGCAATGTGCTTCTGCTGCCAAGAGAGCAGAGACAGCAACCTGCTGCCCCAGAATAGCAACAGCCATAAATATATGGTCATGCTACTTCTCCACTTGGAGATCCAGATCACATTCCCGGTACCCAATGGGGCCATTGGCTGCCAGGCATGCGAATGCTTTGATTAAAAACAGTTGCAAATGAAACTGTGGTTAAGAGAAGCTTAACTGCCCTCCCAGTCAAGCTGACATCAAGCAAAACAGGAGGCTGATGCCTCTGGAGCACAAAGTGCCATGGGCTGTTTGGTGCTAGGTATTATGGGAGCAGCTGACTCAGGGGTTCGAGGACAGAGTATCTTTGACGTGAGAGCTTGCTGTTATTTATGATCTTGACAGCAGCATTCATCCCCTTGCATAATGCAAATGGAAGAGTAAAATCATGGTATTTCTGAGTTAGAGTTCCTTTCAAGATTATCTAAAATGGACTTTGTGGGGAAGGTGAAAGCTTCCATACCATACTACAAAAATCCGGGTGAGCAGTAGTTATTGTTTTGCTGCTACCTAGGGATTGTCTAGATTTTTTCAGCCAATATGCAGCAATATTGATCTGCTAGTATGTAATGGATGAGTTAAAATTCTATTGCAGGCATTGTAATTGTCTTTCTAATTAATTTAAACTTTTCTTTTAAGAAAAAGGTAATATCAGGTGTCCATATTTTGGCCATGGTATCCAATTGCCCATTCACAAATTCTAAGAAACATAATACATACATACATGCATACATATATACATACCTTAAGTAAGCTATTTCTTACTTAATTAAAGTTGAATCTATACCACACAGAACGAATCAGTCAGATTAAAATAATTACACTGACTTTTAAATTTTCATTTAAAAAGACATTTTCTCCTAAGCAGAAGTGGGAATCATCTTTTTAGCCAGAGAAATGCATTCTTTTTTTCCCTGCAGGATTTCCAGAGAGGCTCTTGGCTGGTAGGAGGAGGCATTCCCAGGTTCTGACTCCGCCTATTTTAGCCCTGCTCCAGGCCTGTTTGGAGCTGGCATTGTTCAAGTCCAAAAGTTTTGGAAGGCACTCCAAATACTCTGGCTTAGTTGCTGCCAGGGGAGATATTTGGGGTAGGTAGAGGAGAGTGATTTCAGAGCCTTCTGAGAGCAGGGCCCTTTCCTCCCATGCTCTGACTTTTCATTTAAGAGGTGCTATTTTTGGACTGGATACTAATACATTGGATAATGTCTGGGCAAACTTTTATTTTTTCCCAATTGAAAAATGAGAGCACAAGGATCAGAGGTGTCGTTTCACCTTTCTTAAAACATATTAGGATCGCATTGTGGGATGGCTTGTGTTTAAAAATCTATTCAATTCTTTTGCAGGATAGTGGTGGTAAACTGAGCCTCTCTTAAAAGCTTTCGACAATCTTGGGACTAAAGAAACAGTTTTTAAATTTCTCTGCAACTTAAAACCAAGTTTGACTTACCTCAGAACACTTGGTAAAATGATAATCTGCATTAATCATCTGTGGGTTGAAGCATGGTATGTGAAAAATATTTCTCCCAATTCCTGGGTAGAATGATCTTTTTTTAAAAAAAAAATTTTTTTTTAATTCTTTGCTGTCCTACCACATCTATAATTTTTGTTTGAGTTTAAATGTAACTTACATAATTGTGTCACATATGTATACTGATGCACATATTCAGCAATTTTGCTTTTAAATTTAGAAGCTTTAGTATATTCAGTGCATTTCTTACGGAAGAACTATTGCCTTGCTGCGAAAGTTTGTTTCTCTCTGTTTTATATAACGATATACAGGTTTGGGGAGAGGAATATTTATAATAAAACTTGATCTTAAGGAGAAAGGGAACATTTTTATTTTATGCATTATTATGTCTAATTTGGGGAGAATGTTGTTTTGTAATTTGGATACACAACTAAAAATCATCCATGACCACAAATATCACTAAAGTAGCTAAAACAAACACATGATAGATAGATTTATGAGATAAAATACAAGCTGTTAATGTGAGGAGGCCACTTTACTCCACCACAGAATTCATACTGAGGCAATTTCTTTATAAACCCAATTATGGGTTTTTGTTATGGGAAGTTTATAAGTGCCCATCATTTTTCATCATACAATGTTATTAAAGAGAACAAGAGAGAGGAAAGCTGTGAGAAGTAAATTTGGCAGATGTTCCAAATAGTTTGGCAGAGTTTGCAGTCATAGCTGGAGTACATGAATTTTGCATCATCATGTAAATCAGGTTTTGTGAAGTGTAAAGGTAGGGTGAGGTTACATCAAGAAAGTAACTAAAAGTTGGCCTCATTTTTGGAAACATGCTAAGTATTCCTGCTGGCTTAACTCTCTTTCCAGAAAAATCAATGCAGTTTATTGAAAATTAGCTTTGGTTGGATTGCTTGTCCTCCAGTTCCCTCTAGTTGCCATATTCATGGTTGACTGCTATTGATTTTATAGCCAAACCAGTATCACCCATGCATGACAAGGAAGCAAACAAAATAATCAACAACATTATGAAAGGAACCTAGGGGAGGCAAATAATTTACCCCACTCAAAATTAGTGCAATCAGAACTTGTGACTAGTGTCTATTTTTCTATTGCTGCAAAACTCATTTTTTTCTGCCTCTTCTGATAATTCATGCTTGTTCACCGGTAGTGCTGTTTTATCTCTGCAAGCAAATGCACTCACAGATGAACATTTGAAAAAACATGTATAAAACCAATAGCTGAAAAGAAGGAGAGACATAAGCATACCATAGAAAATTGGGAGACCCAGGGCAGTTTCCACTGCCTTTGAAATACTAAAACTTCTAAAAATTTATATTTCCGGAAATGAAATATGCCAGAACAATATATTTGATGCATGAAATTTATGTAGAAAGTAAAGGAAGATAAAATATTGAATTTCGCTGGAAGCAGGATTATTAACTGCTAAAGGTATGATATACAGTTGGTAAAAGTTTTTGTTGCTGTTGCTGCTGTTGTTAAACAGTTATCAGAAGTGGTAGAAAAATCCCTCTATGTTCTTCCTAGACCTCTATGTACTGTAGGTTAATTTACATTCAGTTTCCATAGTTTACAGCCATGTGTACAAGGAAAAACAGCAGTTTAACATTGGTGGGATTTACATTTATGTCAGATTAGTTTTATTTTTGTTTCCTCCAACAACATATCTAGAATGAAATTCAGCCAGAATCTGAAACCATGCTTTACAATCAATATTAGGGTGAAATGAATTGGAAACAAAATTAAGGCATTATATATACTGAAAGTATTCCATATTATTTACTTAACTATTTTTATTCCAAGTATTCCAACAGTAGGTTTGTAAAAAATCTGCCTCTATTTCTCTCTCTCCTTTTTTAATTAAAAAAAATGACCCACATTTTGTACTAGCAATCAGATATGAGTCTCAGCCCACAGAGGCAACAGATCAGAATTTAAGATGTTCCAGTTTAACATCTCTCTCTCAAATTGTCGACATAACAAAACCTTATGTGACTTATACAGATTACAAAGCAAATGAATAAAGGCTTTGTAACAATGTTGAAACGTTGCCTAGTTCTAGTCATAAAACTTGTGAACCCATGACTAATTATCATGGGTTAATGCAATGGATATGTTCATTTGGATTACTTGCAGTGATGACTTTTTTGGGTTTGAGGGAAAGGCCACGAATAACTAAGTGAATGAACCCCAGTATTCCCTTTTCACTTTTACTGGTTGAATTCAGCAACCAGGTTGTCTTTACTTACTTAAGTAAAGAAAAATAGTCGTTGATCTATGATGGACTTCATGAAAGTAATTTAATTTTATTAATAAGGCAGCAAAATACCTAAGGCTCCTCCCTCCTGCTATTTCCCCCCCAACAACCCTATGAGATGGGTTGGGAAGAGAGAGAGAGTGATTAGCTCAAAACCATCCAGCTGGCTTTCATGTTTAAGGCAGGACTAGAATTCACAGTCTCTTGGTTTCCAGTTTGGTGCCTTAATCGCTGGACCAAACTGACTCTAATATGCAAGTGGCTTGCCATTTTCTAGTCCAGATTAATTAGTGAAGCATGCTTTGTAACAGAAGGGAGATTTATTTAGAAAAAACACACACCCTATCCATTATAGTCATAGGCAAAGCCCAAAACCTAGCTGGTTACATGCGACCAGGAAAGCCCAAGAGCACATAGTCAGAGAGGAAGGCAGAAGACTGATCTCAAATTAACAGTCTCTTAGACAAACAGGCAGAGTGAAAGACAGGAGACACAGAGTTTAACCTTTAACTATTTACTACACCCAACTACTGCCTTCTTGTAGTCAGTTGATCTGACATGGTCAAGAATCAGTGCCATTACATTTGGACCTCCAGTATGTTCAGCTTCTAGACTACAGTGATGAGATTTCTTGATGGCCTTATCTAGAAACCATGTAGGGGCTTGCCCTACATAAGCATTGCCCTTTCTTTGGTTCTGATGGTGGTTTTCAGCTCAGTCTCAAAAATATAGATTGCTCACCTCTATATTTTTTTCTTTACACTGTAACAAACAGCTGTGGATACCAGAAGTATATTCCCAAATGGTAACTTTTTCTCCCTCTGGGATATTCCTGATTGATATCATGTAGAAAAAATAGTTAAGTTTGAGGTGCAGTTTGTTTTTATGCATTTATCCTCAGTAGTCTTGTTCTGAAGAGTTTTAAAAATATGTCTGAGTGAACACTTATGTTGCATCTGCACTAGGTGTCAGTAAAAAAGACAAAAAAGTTTGGATAGTGGACGTGGCAATACCTGGAAATAGCAGAACAGAAACGAAAGATAATTAAATAGGAAGACCTGCAAATAGAAATAGAATGACTGCAGCAAAAAAAAAAGAAGCAAAATAGCAGCAATCGTGGTAGATGACTTTGGTGTAATCCCAAAGCAATTGAAGCACTACTATCAATATCAATAGTCTTCACTTGAACACTATTGATATTGACAAAATCACCGTTGGTCAATTGCAAAAGGCAGTTTTACTCTGAACAGCTTACATCCTGCTTTAACACCATCAAACAACAACATCTGCCTATCCCAGGTCCTTAGGAAGGACACCGTAGGTGGACAAAAATGCGAAATCCAGTCTAAACATCTGGCTGACTGTGCAACCAGCTATAATAATAATAATAATAATAATAAGGAAATATAAACTCAATATAATCTTTTATTTAAAGAAGTGTATCCCCACTATTTCTAGAACTATGGAGACCTCTTGTGGTCATTCAGAGTTAAGTAATTTAATTTGTTAAGAATTTTTCAAGTGGTGTGAATTAATGGTGCTTTCCCAGAAACATTTGTTTTGCTGTGCACATCTATTGACAAAATCCTCTTACTTTTAAGTGACTTTCTAAACAATGCTGCCTACGTTAATCACACTTTTCAATCTTTGTTATAAATTATCTTAAGGAAGATTGGTAGTTCTAGCATGAAATATCAAACCTTCATTTGGAGGTTTGCATGATTAATTGTTACTTTTTGGAAACTGCAGTTTATGCATTCCAGATCTTAACTTTGATTCTAAAAGTGTATTTGTGATTTCCATGATACTATTAGAAGTCTGTATTTTTTTTAAACCAATTAAATATATACTCATGCTAAAATATGTTTAAGGTGTTTGGGTCTGACTTCAGCCATAAGGGAATAAAAGTGAAAGAATATCTCCAGTAAACAAGAAAACCTAGAATATACATTTTAAAATACATTTTAAATGGTATTACATCTATCATTATGAAACAAAGACAAAATTAATTACAATGGAGCACAATTATGAGCCACTGAAATGTCAAGGAGGTTAATAAAATTATTAAAAGAAAAACATGGCAAATACATAACATTCATGCACCTCATAAACATTTTGAGGCAGATATTAATATACTATTGAAATGTTGAAGGCATATCCATTTGACTCCATTATCCTGCATTAATTAAATGTATCTAGAATATTTTTTCTTATAAATTAGAGAAGAAATTCAGGAAAAAGAATCATTTTTCTTGAATCTAGGTAGGTAGCTTAGTTATCTTTGTGTTAATCCTGAATACCCAAGATTTTCAACAGCTTCTTCATTTCATGAACTCCTGTCGGAGAGTGAGGGCAAAATCAGGAAGGCAGCTTCATCTGTTAATAACGAGCATGCTCAGTTCATGGAGCAGACTCAGTAACAGAGAGGGGAGAAAGAGAAAAAAAAATCAAATCTCATGGGCAGAATCTCGGAGCAGTGAATTAAGCAGGAACAAAAACACGAAATGGCAGAAGGAAAGGAGGACCAGATGGCCGACAAAACACCCCCACCTGAAATGGAGGTCAAGTCAGAGGCTAAACTCATCCTCTATCACTGGACACAGTCCTTCACTTCCCAAAAGGTGAGCGTCTCATCTGCTAAAAGGAATGTTGTATTTCAGAACCTGGATAGCTCCCTCCGCCCATGTAGCCCACCTTAAGACTGCCGATTTGCCCTCTGGGACAAAGCATTGTATTAAAGGCAGCTCTGAGTGGGTTCCTGAGAGAAGAAAGAATAAAAAATAATGAGAGAAACGCATACTCAAGCCAGAAAGCTTCACAAACAGGCCCAGACCCTTTCCCATTAATTGTTAAATTTTGTGCTAATCCAAGATAAAGGAATGAAAAACAGGCAATAACAAAACCAACCAAGTGAGATCAATTTATCTTACAGGAAAAAAGTGTCACATGAAGAGCTGATATTTAATATTCACATTAAATGAGGTTCCTGCAGGTTTTCTTATTGTTTCTCTGGAATAGCAGCATGTTTTATTTAGCTATTTATTACCATAATCTCCCAATGTTCCTAGCAAATATCCCAGGACCAAATTCGATATGGCACCCTGCAGACTCCATTGCCAGGTTTGGCTTTAAACCCGTACAATATGTGATAAACCGTATATATTTTTTTAATTGGGGCACTCATAATCTTTAACAGGAAAGCGCATCCATTTGTTTCAGGTACGACTGGTGATTGCTGAAAAGGGGTTGAAATGTGAAGAGCATGATGTAAGCCTTCCATTGAGTGAACATAATGAGCCTTGGTTTATGCGTTTAAATGCATCAGGAGAAGTCCCTGTGCTGATTCACAAAGAGAATATAATTTGTGATGCAACTCAGATTATTGACTACCTTGAAGATACTTTTATGAATGGTAATAAGAGTGTTTATGTGCTTTTTTTTTTTTTTTTAAATGCCTTAATGCGTGTATCTTATTTCATAGACATTTATTTATTTATTAAATCATTATTTATAGTATATATTTTATGTCTTATCTGTATACTACCCAGAGTCCTTGTGTGAGGGAGATGAGTGGTTTCTAGATGTGATAAATAAATTGCAGTTTGAGAAAGTTGTCAGGAGGGATACATAATTTTAAACTTTATTCTTGCAAGACATAGAAAAGATATTTTGAAAGGAAAACATCTTTTGGAGTGGGATATAGACACATATAAATCTTTTTATCAACAACTCTTCTGTAGAGAAACAGGAATCTGCCTTAACCAGTATTATCTACTTTAATTGGCAATTTCTTTATTTCTTATATGATCCTGTTAACTAAAGTTATATCAACAATATGTCACTCTATATACAGGTATTCAACAGGGTGGAGCTAAATGATAACATATAGAATAGTATGGAATCCTACAAATTATATTCCATGCACCTGAGCAGAAATCTACCAGCACATCTAAGTACAAGCAAACAAAATTTTCAGATAGTCTCTTGAAAGAATACCATAAGTATTAATATTAGTCGAATGGAATGGCATCTATAACAAATTTTAAACAAACAAACAAACAAACAAATAAATGGCTGTCTTTTGACTCCTATCCAAGTACTAACCAGAAGCAATCTTGTTTAATTTCCAAGTTCAGATAAAATCAGCCTTGACGCTGCAACCTGGTGGAACATATTCAGAATAGCATCATTGCTACTACAAGGCTAAATCCTGGTGAAACAAGATCTTGAAAATATGTTTCATTCAAAATTGGGTAGAACTTATCAGCTTCTGCACTTTCTCAGATCTAGAGCCAGTATTAATTTTTTTCCCCAGGAGTTAGGATTGATAATTGCTTTCTTTAACAGAGATTGGCTTAATACACCTTGTAACTTCTTGGACTCAGCTCAACGTGAAAGCAAGGATGAAGGACATAAAAGCTGCTTAACAAATCTTTTATTCACATTCTACAGCTTTAAAAATTAACAAGGAAACTTCCCCTAGTTTTCTATAGGCAATCTTTAAAATATGGTGCTTAGTAAGCTCCTGACAAATTTATTTCATTTCTACTGAGAAAGAACTTAAAGACCCTAGACTAATGACAGATGCTTTTCACTATAGGTAGTTCTTGACTTACAATAGTTCATTTAGTGATTGTTCAAAGTTATAACGGTACAGAAAAAAAGTGACTTATGACAATTTTTTATACTTATGACCATTGACCAAACTCATGGTCAAATGATCAAAAATCAAATGCTTGGCAATTGACCCATATTTCTGATGGTTGCAGTGTTCCAAGGTCATGTGATCCCCTTTTGTGACCTGACAAGCAAAGTCAATGGGGAAGCCAGATTCACTTAAAAACCATGTTACTAACTTAACAACTGCAGTAATTCACTTAACAACTGTGGTGAGAAAGATCATAAAATGGGGCAAAACTCACTTAACAAATGTCTCGCTTAGCAACAGAAATTTTGACTCAATTGAGGTCGTACGTTGAGGACTACGTGTATTAAGAAAGTGCAGTTGTGGAAGAGAACATTGGGTTTTTTTCACTGTTACTATTATCATAAAGAAGGCTCAAGGTTGCTATTTCTCATTATGACCAAGCAAAGAAAGACTAACCTAACCCTATCTCAACTCTCTTATAGTTTAAGAGGCACTGCATTCCAACTAATAGGAATATTCTTAGAATAATAAATGCTGCAGTGATATTTACAACAGAGATTTATGATTTTGGGGAATAAGATGCAAACTTTGGGAAAGATCTCAGTTAAAATTTTAAGGAAAAGTTTTATCATTAAGCATCTGTCAAGGATATTTGATTCCAGAAGGACCAGAGATAATTATTGTAGTGGTTTATAGTAGATCAGAAATCTTTCTGTGAGTTAAATACAATTACAGATTTCTAACTGAGAGCTTTGAAGTTTAACTGCTGTTAGTTTTACTTTTTTCTTAATGTCTTGTTTAGTTTTGCTTTGTTCTTATATTTTTTTCTTCCTTGTTTTGAGTTTGTGTTTTAATGTTGTGAATAGAATAGAATAAAATAAAATAATTATTGGAAAAAAATAACTTCACTAATTCAGCTTTTCATCCACAAACAGAAATCTCTTTTATTTTTCACTTTCAAGAGGTTATAAATATCTAAACCAGCCTTCTTTTACTTTTTTACTTTTTGTTAACTTTCATCTATGGATGTTCTTCTCTATAGAAAAGACTCCAAGATTAATGCCAGAAGAAGGAAGTATGTATTATCCCAGGGTTCAACACTACAGAGAACTTCTAGATTCCTTGCCTATGGATGCATATACACATGGCTGCATTTTACATCCTGAATTAGCAGTAGACTCCATGATTCCTGCATATGCCACGACAAGAATTCGTAGTATGTACAAGAAGTTTATGTGCCCTATTATCTGTGGTGTTCAAATTCATTTTAATTTTCTTATTTAAATGATTTTACCACCTTTATATTTATTAAAAATCAACTTATCATCCTGCTGAAATAAGCAGCATATGGTGTTTTAAAAAACCCATTTGTCAAATTGTTTTGTCAACTATAATTAGTTGACTTTCAGGATTAATTCTGCATTGCAGATGAAGGTTTACTCAACTGTTCACACAAAATACTGTAAATCCATACATTTGGTTAGGAAGTAAAACATTTTAACATGATAAACTTTACTTAATTTACTGGAAAGTTTGATGATTAATAATCTTAACTGACTTATTGCTGTTTTGCAAGGCCAAATAGGTAATACTGAATCTGAATTAAAGAAACTCGCTGAAGAAAACCCAGATCTGCAAGAGGCATATATAGCAAAACAGAAACGACTCAAAGTAAGAACAGAACATGTATAATTAGCCAAAATGGATCCTAGGATTGCTTGGAGTATGATATTAATGTGAAATAGCAAATATTATTATTGCATGCTTTTCTGCTTGGAATAATTCCATTTTAAAATGGATTATATACATGTCATTTGGTGTCATTCAGTAGTCTTACAATTGCTTGCTGAGCTTCACAATATTCAAAAGAACTTCTCATCATTTTTTGCAAGCTAATATATAATATTTTTTTCCTCTAGTCTAAATTGATGGATCATGATAACATAAAGTACTTACAGAAAATACTAGATGAATTGGAAAAAGTTTTGGATCAGGTTGAAACTGAGTTGCAAAGAAGAAATGAAGAAACACCAGGTAGAAAATAATTTGCAGTCATTTCTGTCTTATTTTCTTCTGATTCTGCAGTGTTGAACGATATCTCCATCAGTAACCCCTAGGCTGTTTTAAGTCAAGTAATGCTCCTATTAGCCAAACCATTGCAACAAGTAATCTGGAACTAAATGGTTATACACAATTAATAAGAATATTAATTGCATGCAATAGTCAGAGGAATCTTTGCATCATACTGCATTTTATTAGTCTCTAATTATTTATGCCTTTATTTTTGATATCAGAAAATGGACATCAGCCTTGGCTCTGTGGAGAATTTTTTAGCTTGGCTGACGTATCCCTTGCTGTAACACTCCATCGGCTGAAGTTCATTGGACTGGCAAGGAGAAGTTGGGGAAATGGAAAGCGACCTAACTTGGAAGCCTATTACGAGCGTGTCTTGAAGAGACAAACATTTCATAAGGTTTTGGGACATGTCAACAACATACTAATCTCAGCAGTTCTTCCAACAGCATTTCGAGTAGCGAAAAAGAGGGCACCCAAAGTTTTTGGCACAACTCTTTTGGCTGGCTTTTTAGCAGGAATAGCATATTTTGCATTTATGTGTGCTCGGAAGAGGCTTTCTCACTTGCTATTATCAATAAGAGGAAGGCAGAGTTTTCTGTAGATGTCTCCTTGCCAGATTGGGATCAGAGTACTTTATACTCCAAAGAGGCTGACTTAAGGCACAATAGTCCAAAATATCGTCTTCTATTATTAGGCCTTTTTCTGACTATAGAAATACATTAGTAATGTAAAGGAATCTTGCAAATTGGAGGAAAAAGAACACTGATTAATTTCAAACATCTTGCTTAGCTATTATATGTTCAATGTGATTTTAATTTAATGTAACATATCCATAAGCCATTATGGATCATAAACTATTGTTGGTGGGTTCCCTGTTGTAAATAATGCTTCAATAACCTATGGGTAAAACAACCCATGGTTAGCTCAATGTGTAAAACAGAGTACCTTGTTTGTAGATCTGTGGAAGCTTATTTTTGTTCCCTCTTGCTCTATTTTTTCTTTTTTTATAAATATCTTTATTAATTTTCAACATCAAACTTTAAAATGCAAATTAACAGAAAAGGGAAAGGGAGTTAAATTAAAATTAAAAGTGACAAATATATATCAAACAAATTTGTAACAAATTCTTTTGGTACAGCGATAATAACAATACAATCACCTCTTTCTTAGTTTAAACAAATAGCACCAATATACAAAACACCTTAGAATACTAATAATCAACATACTAAAATCCCCAATATGCATAAATATTCTTCTCTAAGAATAGTAAATTATTAAATACAAATCTCTATGTTTAAAAAGCTGCAATATTTCTCTAGTCAAATCCAGTCTAATCTTCAGATCTCAAAGTGAAAAACTGATTTTTTTCTCCTTATCTTATAAGAAATCTAACAATGGTCTCCAAGTCAAAAGAAATTTGGTCAAATCATGCTGCCTTTGTTTACGCACAGAAGCATTTAGATGCAAAACAAGGCTGGTCCTCTGAGCAGGATGGAATGAAGGATGCAGAATTGTGGGTTAAAGCTGGATTTATCCAAAATTGGATAAATGGAGTTTTCTTAAATTTAATGCTGTGCAGAGCTCTTCACATAGTTTTGATCAACTTCCTCCCCATCACATCACTCTGCATATTATCTCATTATATTAAGGTGAGTCCCCAACCCTTCATTTTTCCTAAATGTTAGTATTTATTTATTTATTTACATTTATATGCTGCCCATCTTACTAATAAGCCAACTCTAGATGAATTACAAATGATAAAAAAGATAAATATAGAAACAATTACAATTTAGAAAGTTACAAAAAGTTATGTCATTTGATAATTATGCATTTATAAAAGTCATAATTATAAGTTAATTATATCTTACCAGTGAATTTGTTTGGGTCTCTGTAAACATTGTAAGTTTATACTTGTTATTTTAATAGATTATTGTACTGTGATTGGCTCATAAGGCAGTTCATTAAATTTTGGCTGACACAGTGGCACATGCTTCAATTACAGGCTTAAAAAAGTATGACTAGATAGATATTTGATACATACCAGGTAGGACTCCAAGGCACATTTTAAAAGTTATGCCTATCAGGCTCTCTTGAATGTTTGTGTGATTTGGAAATGTTTATGCCCTTGCACATTAATGATCTGTAATTTATTCATTTATAAGCAGTCCTCATTTTACACTGGATTTTGTGCAGATAATATAGAGGTAACTGCTTTTTTCTTAATGTAAAAATATGTTTCGTTCTAGTATATTAATGCAGTCTATGATGTACTTCAAAAAAATCTGTTCCACAAATACAGCTTGTTCAGATGAAACATGAGCATAGTGTTTGACTAATTCTTTCATGCCTTTTTAAAAATAATTAAAATTGGTTAACCAGACATTAACTTAATTGCTAAACATGACTATAATGGAATCTTGAATTTCCATCATATGTCATGATGATTGTAAGTTGCGGCATTTTTGGTGTGTGTCAGTCATTAAGTGAATGCAGCAGTTATAAAATGAGTGCTACAGTTGTAAAGCAAATCCATTCTCTGCAGCTGGCATTTTTTGCCAGATACCAGAAGTAAATGCTGATTTCCAGCAAAATATTGCAGTCCTGTGACCACAGGATATTGCAAATGGCTATTAATGTGTGCTGGTTGCTGAACATCCAAAATGGGACAGTGGAGTGGTAGTGGCCATCGGAACTTTAAATCTGTGTCCTAAGTACCTTTTGTTTGGGGGGGGGTGTCCCTCATAACTTTGAGTGGTCTCTAAGCAAATAATCAGCAGTTGAGGACTATCAGTATATTGTAGTGTCAGACATTGTGCACAAAAGTCAAGAGTGAGGCTTCCCATCTATCTTTCCCTTTATCCCAGAGGCACCCAACCTTTGTGGATTGGCCCAGAGGAAAAGAGAGGTGAGGGGCAGGTGAACACAGGAACAGAGCTGCGAGCAAACGGGGCCGTGAGCACCCGTGCAATTCTCACGGCGACACTCATGCCCATGCAGTACTCACAATGCTAGTGCGAGTGGGGGGGGGTGAGTGTGTGCATACACGTGCGTGCTCTAGCCAGCCACCCATGTGACCCTGTGCCAACAGGCCACAGCCTGTAGTGGGCCACAGCCCACAGGTTGGGGACCCCTGTTTTATCCAGTACTGCAAGCCTAGTTGTACTAGTTTTAACCTAACCAATACCATTGCTATGGCATCAGTCTATTTATTAATTTTGACAATACCAATTCTTCTAAGGAGAAGAAACAAGCTCTCTGAGGTCAATGAGACTAAGCCTCAAGTTAGAGGATAGTTTTACCTTCATAACAATCTTAGCAGATAGCAATAGCACGTAGACTTATAAACCGCTTCATAATGCTTCACAGCCCTCTCTAAGAAGTTTACAGAGCCAGCATATTGCCCCCAACAGTCTGGGTCCTCATTTGACTCACCTTGGAAGGCTTGAAGGCTGAGTCAATCTTGAGCCAGTCAGGACTGAACTGTTGGCAGTAAGCAGAATTAGCTTGAAATACTGCATTCTAACCATTACGCCACTATGGATATGAGACCAAGGAATTTCCTAGGTGATGAAGGATTTGAATTAAGTATTTCCACATCTAAGTTAGCTCTTACTGTATGTCCCAATATGAATATTTCTCAATCTTTCTGAACTCTGTTTCATTTATATTTGGGGATTCCTCTGATCCCTGTTTATAGAAACAATTAAAAGTAGCAAAATTTGAGAAATCACAGAGCAGTCATACAAATGTTTCAATACTTTTTCATAAACTTAAGCTCTTATCCCCAGATTCTCAAATTTTCAGTTATTTTAGGCTCATCAGAAAAGGGATTATGACCTGGTTGTTGTTTTTTGTGTTGTATCACATAGCCAGACAACATCCTCTTTGATGAAACCTTCTGATAAGGTCCCAGATATTTATTTATTTAGACAAATCTGTTGCAAATGTTATGAATCTTTCCACTGTAGGTAACAACGGCAGCAGGAAAGATGAATAGACATGACTCATATTTGTTTACCAGTGTGTTAAATCTTGTTCGGATGCTTGGGGTAGAACATTTGGGATAGGCAAGACATCATGTTCTTTTTTTTTATTTTTATCCATTTGGAAAGGCTGGAATTTTGCTTTCTAAATTTATCATTCAGTTAAAATTGCTTATCAGTTTTTGGCTATTGATGAGTAAAACTTATTTCATGACCCCCTGAAGATTATTCATGTCACTGAAGAAAGAAACAGTCTTATATTTGGGGATCACTGCTCTCTACCATATCATGTTGGTTCTCAGTATAATCACCATGGAATATTGGCTAAAAAGTAGCAATAGCACTTATATACTGCTTCATAGTGTTTTACAGCCCTCTCTAAGTGGTTTACAGAGTCAGCATATTACCCTCAACAATCTGGGTCATTTTACTGACCTCGGAAGGATGAAGGGTTGAATCAACCTTGAGCTGGTCAGGATCGAACTGCTGGCAGCAGGCAGAATTAACTTGCAATACTACATTCTAACCACTGCACCATCATGGCTCTTTTGAATCATCTGCTTCAGTATCATTCTAACATCAACGACGTTTTGGATATCTGGAGTCAGGTCTGATATTTTCAGGTGAATATATTTATTGTGGCCAGTGGCTCAAGGCACAACCATATCTGTTGCTTCAGAAATGCGAGAGCTAAATCTTATTAAAACACTGGTATGCACTTCTAACTGTAGTACATGTAAATCAGTTGAAACAAACCATAATACACAATTAGTATGGATACCCAAAGGACTCTTCTTGGTCACTGCAAAAAGTTTACATTTCTCTTACACTGACACATTTTTCAATTAAATACAATATTTTTCATGCATTCCATTTTTGAATGTTGTTATCAATCACACCTGATATAAAGTTATACTAAAGACAATAAATTAAAATGCATTCTATTAGTTTTTCTGGGACTAAATCTTCTGGTGGGATTAAGTTATATATAAGTTTATATATAAAAAATAAGACTTAAGGAAGGGTACCATTGTTATATAAAACTAGAAATATTAAATTCCTGAATCCTTATTGATTTTTCATGGAGCTTAAATGTTTGAAGATATATGGCTTGATAGAGAATGAGCTAACATTTCTGAAGAAATTAAGTAGACAAAATTTGGCCAGTGCTTAGATATGAAACATACATTACCTTTAATTTGATGACAGAAGAAAGCTGAGAAACAAATAGACTTACCTCTGTAACAGCTCCTATTGAAGACTGGCCATCCACTCACAAGGTTTTAGATGGATTTTCTTACCAATGGAAAATATGTATTGAAGCCAACATGATAATTTACTTGCAAAAATGGCAAATTAGTGTGTGTTACTTCTGATTTTTTAATAGAACGTTACCCTGATTCTCTGCTTAAACTGTAATAAGAAACATACTTTCAAAACTTAGAAAACAATGCTTTTTGAGTTTAGTAGGTGGTAGAAAACAGATGAAAATAATTTAACTTCATGACTCAGATATTCTGGCAATACTAACAATTTGGACATGCTCTGTTTACCACAGATTTTAATTTAACCAAACAATACTGATTATGTACTGGCACTTCTTTATTCTCCAGTACTAAACAGCTTTACATGGTAGAAAGCCCAATTGTTCTCAACAAAGGTTATTTCCAGGTAAGAGTAGAATTAGAACTTTGCTTTGCCATTGTTGTTCATCTACTTCAGTCAGTATTTAATATTCAAGAATGGGAGACCAAAATTGGAGAATATGTAGCAATGAAAAAACTGACTGTATAGATTCATAACAGAGGTTTATCTATATTCAGTGCATCACACAGCAAGGCAGGCCTATGTGGGCAATAGGGTTTTTAAGAAACGAGATTAAAAAATATCAGATAAAATGATTTTAAATAAATATAAGCAACAGTCTCCAATATTTCAAGAAAACGGGAAATATTTAAGTAGTGACTAGGGACAACGAAGGGAATATGCGATCAAAAGTTTTTCCCTTCCTTGTTTTTTATATTTTATAAATATATTTTTATATTTATATTTTACTTTTTGCTTTGAGTCAGCATTTAATTTTTATATATCTAAACTATTTTTTGCTATCAGCTTAAATAATGTAAAATGACCATTTATAATAAAATAACATTTTTAAAAAAACATTAATATTCACAAATTCTGAAACTGGATAGCTGCAGTGATGCATGTTCTTGATTAGGGATTCTGTAATTTACTAGTATTAAAACATAATCTGCTCTAACCATGGTAAAACTGGAATATGTTATTAACTGATAGTTCAGAAAAAAAACAGGCATGCCACTCTTTGTCTGAACTGCTTTTTAAAAATGTACAGCATCACTTTTTTTAAATAAAGTTCATGCTTTCTCAAATAGTATGACCTACAATGAAAATTTCTTCAGACAATGATGCCATTTGATTTACTAGGTTACAACAGTTATTCTATGGGACACGGTATAGGAAATTGTCTATCAAATGACCACCAGATGGCAGTGTTTTCCAAAGACTACATGTTGGAGGGGGAAAAAACAACAACTCTAGTTTTCCAGATTTTTTAAATTTTATTTTAAATATTACCCGTTGGCAGTACTATATTTTCTACCTACATATGAAAATGCATATGGGAAAAGTGGAGCATCAAAGAAATGCATTTCATGCATGCACGAAGAAGGCAAAGTTACTCCTGACTGAGTTTGATTCCTATTGTCTACTCAACATTCGTATGCTGGTTTGATGACAACTGTGTGAGAGGGGTCTGGCATTAGCTTCTTTAGGGAACTTTTTAGCTTTGTGGTATAACTTACAGCTCTGAATTTCTTAGGTAATCTCCCATACAAGTTCTTACCAGGCTCAACCTGCTTATCTTTGAAGGTCAGATAAAACTGTCCAAGCATATCCATTGCATGCCTACAACCACTTGAATAATCTGACAGAATAGTGACATTAAAAGGTAGAAATAGCAACAGCACTTAGATTTATATGCCACTTCATAGTGCTTTACAGCCTTCTCTAAGCAGTTTACAGAGTCAGCAAATAGCCCCCAACAATCTGGGTCTTCATTTTACCGACCTCGGAAGGATGGAAGGCTGAATCAACTTTGAACCAATGAGAATTGACCTGTTGGAAGTCAGCAGAATTAGCCTGCAATATGTTATGTTATGTTTATTATATTGCATTCTAACCACTGTGCTACCATTATTGGGTACATTTATTGATCAGAAACACACAGAACAATTAAACCAGTTTAGCAGAGTTTCAGGAAAAATCCCAAATGGCAGAAACAGAAAGACAAAGGATTGATTGTAT